GTAACCCTTAGCAACCAATCGAGCCTTAAACCTTTCAACAGAGCCATCAAAGTGATATTTAATAGTAAACACCCATTTACAACCCACTGGTTCCTTCCCTTCCGGCAAGTCCACAATATCCCAGGTATGATTCTTATGCAATGCATCAAGTTCGGTCATCATAGCTTCCCTCCATTAAGCTTGAGATAAAGCTTCCGGTACAGACCTGGGTAACACATGGGAAGAAACAGAGGCAAGAAAAGAGTAGTAGGAAGGGGAGAGAAGGCTATAAGATAAGTGTTTGGAGATACAATGGGTTGTACACTTCCGCTTGCCCTTGCGAAGAGCAATAGGAAGGTCAAGGTCTGGAACAGTCCAAGATGGGTCAGTAGTAGACCTGTTCATGGGCCGGATGGCCCGATGGGCCGGCCCGGTCCCCGGACGGGCTTGAGCATGTGTTTTAGCCCACGGGCTTGACATCGGGCCTAAAAGCCCGAGCCCGACTATTTTACGGGCCGGGCTCAGGATTTGTTAAAAAAGCCCGACCCGAGGCCGGCCCGACCCGACTTTTCCTAAACTACCTAACCCTAACCCTAAATACTTAAAATTTTTCTTTTCATTCTCCTTTCTCACTCTCACTCTCAGAAGCGGCTCTCATTTCTCCCTCTCAACTCTCAGAACCGGTGAACCCAACTACACTTGCGAACTCAGTCACCGACGGTCGACTCCACCAGAACTAGTCATCTCTCTCTTTGGCGGTGATCTCTCTCTCTCCCTCTCTCTCTCTCTCTAGTTGGCACCGTTTTCATCTTTTTTCTTCTCATTCTCAGTTTTCTCTCTTCTTAGAACTAGGTCTTCTATCTTCTCAGTTCTCTCTTCAGCCGACGCCACCAGAACTTAGGCACACCGTTTTCATTCTGCTAACTCAGGCACCGCCGCACCGGCGGCTGGCACCACCAGATCTAGATCGTCTCTCTCTCTCGAGCGGTGAGCTCTCTTTCTCTCTCTCTCTCTCTCTAGACGACACTGTTGTCATCTTCTATTTTCTCACTTTCTGGGTTTCTATTCTCACTCTCAGACTCCCAGGAATCGGCGAACTCAACAGGCACCATTCTCTCAGACGACATCGGCGCTCAGACTCCCAAGTCGGGCTTCGGGCTCGGGCCCGGACTTGGGGCCTTTTTGAGGACCGGGCTCAAGCCCAAGTTTTAGGCCCGTTGGTCGGGCCGGACTCGGGCTCGGGCCTGAAAAGTTTATGTTAATAAAGAGCAAAAGCTCGGCCCGAGCCTGACCCGACCCATGAACAGGTCTAGTCAGTAGAGAGTTGACCTATTTCCTCAGGAATGATGGGAGTGGCAAGATGCTCTTCTGAAGGAGTGGAAACAACCTGCACATGTCTGAATCTCTGCCTTTGGTACCACCTTTGGAGAGCAGGAGCAAAAGCAAGAGGGGGAGAAGGGACATCAGGGGTAGGTCCAGTGGAAGAGGTGGACACCCAATGATCGGACTCACAAGGGATGGGAAGAGGAACAACTGGAGACATAGCAAAGTACTCATCAGATCTCTCCCCCTCAGGAGGAATACTAAAGAAGGGAGTCAACTCTGCAAAGGTGACATCCCGAAATACAAAGCGGGTGCCACGAACTGAATCAAAACAACAATAACCCTTATGTGTGGAAGCATATCCCAGAAACACGCACTTATGAGCCTTAGGTTCAAACTTGTGCCTTTGGTGACTATGAATATGCACATAGCAAGTACACCCAACACACGGAGAGGAAGAGAAAAGAGATCCTCATCCGGGAAGAGAAGACTAAAAGGGGTTTTAAAGCCAAGGACCCAGGAGGGCATACGGTTGATCAGAAAGGTAGCAGTAAGAACATCTCCCCAAAACTTTATAGGAACATGGGATGCAAATAAGAGGGATCTGGCAACCTCAACCATATGTCTGTTCTTTCTTTCCGCCACCCCGGTTTGTTGTGGAGTGTAGGAACAAGAACTTTGATGAATAACCCCAAAAGTTTCAAGATAGGTGGAGAGGGTTCTCTCAAAATACTCCTTAGTATTGTCAGAGCGGAATATTTTGATACGGGTATTAAACTAGGTGAGGATGAGTTCATGAAAATTTTTCACAATAGCTGGTACTTCATCCCTGGATTTCATGAATCCAAGTGTAACGTGAATAATCATCAATAAAAAGGATAAAGTACCTGTAAAACCCCATGGTTGGCATGTGATATGGCCCCCACACATCAAAGTGAACAATATGGAAAGGAGAAAATGATCTTTTATTGCTAATTGAATAGGAATGTCTACAATGCTTTGCCAGCTCACATTGATTCACAATGAAGACTCGATAAAGACACTCCTTTAAACATATATGGGAACAGATGACTCAAAGCAGAAAATGACAAGTGACCAAACCGAAAATGACATAATAAAATTTTGTTAACAGACTCTGACACGACTGACTCTAAGGCCACTCCATGAGGTGGTCCCTAAGCTTGATTTGGTGTGTCCAGCAAGTATATTCCGTTCGCCTCATGGCCACTCCCAATCATCCTTCGAGACTGCAGGTCTTGAAAAACAAAATGAGTGGGAAAGAAAGTTATGCTGCAATTCATTGACTTTGTTAAGCTACTAACAGATAAGAGGTTTGTGTTAAGCTTAGGGACATGAAGAACAGAAGATAAGAACAGGGTGTCAGAGGTCTTTATATCACCTTTACCAGAGATGGGGGCAAGGGATCCATCGACAAGGGATATTTTCTCTTTCCCAGGGAGAAGGTGATATGAGCAAAACAGGTTAGATAGGCTGGTCATATGGCCTGATGCACCGGAATCAATAATCCAAGGGATTTTATGATTATCTGAAGCTGAAGCATGATTCGCAGAAGCACAAGTACCTGAGTGAGCAAAAGCCGATGAAGATGATGTACTGTTGGAATGGTGAGTTGAAGAAACCGTAGCTTTCAGGTGATTTAGGAGCCTCCCATACTTCTCAAAATTCAGCTTCATTGCAGCCAACTGCTCAATAGTTGATTTTTCTTCGCTTTCCTTACTTCCTCCTCCAGGCACTGTAGCAGCATTAGCAATCTTGGATTTTCCCACCTGACTGCCYTTCTTAGGGTTATTATTGTTCTTAAACCTATTAGGAAGAAGTTCAGGATGAAGCTTCTAGCAAGTGTCCTTTGTATGTCGTGGTTTCTTGCAATATTCACACATCTGCTCTCTTTTCTCAGTAGGGCCCTTGGGTTTCATTCCCACATGTGCAAAATGTTCTGTAAATGGACTCTACAACTGCACCTGTCGCCTACTCTCCTCACTACTTATCATAGCATATGCCTGTGAAAGAGTAACCTCATCCCTGGCCAAAATGTTTTGTCTGATAATATCAAACTCAGAGTTGAGTCCAGTGAGAAACTCTTCTCTCCACTAGCTTTCTATACATTTCAGCATCCTTTTTACTCTCCCATACCA